GTAACGAGAAATATTCGTCAAATGGTCTCGTTAAGTAAATTATACTTCACTTTACGAAAGGAATTTATCGTTTGTATCCGTTTTACGCATCGAAAAAGCGAGGAGTCATCGCATGACATTAGGTAACAGAAATAATACTCACGAGTTTCACGAATTCCAATTCCACGATTTTTCGCCGAGTAACAAATTTAAAACTTCAATTCTTACCTTACAGTGGTCGGTTCATCAGGGGCACCCAACGACAATTTTCGGGAAAATATCTGTTCGGAAGACGATTTGAGATCTAGAATTTTCGGAGCATTTGTTGTAAAATTTCTTGCTTGCCTGCCGCTCCTAGGATTTTCGAACATCCACAAAATGGTATAATTACCCATTTTTAAGGGATTTTGACCCTAAAAAAGGCCACCTAGAATTTTCGGGAGCCTTTTCCTGGCTGAAATTTTCGAGAAGGTAAGTTTTTATCCCTATAATTTTCGGATCAATAGATTTTCAGCTAGGAAATCCGAACAGATGAAAAGTTTTTAGGGGATAAAAATATGCCTATATCTACCGTTTGAATACTAAAATACGTTCAACAATGCTATGTTAAGTGGTTTTGAACTATATCCTCGTTTGGTGCCCCTGGTTCATTTACCTTACATTTGCCAACAATAATAAACATGAACAAAACGATGAAATCCGGCACTCTTCTTTCAGAAGTAGCAAGCCGCATGAAGTAAAATCCACCGATATGCGCTGGATTCTCACTACAAATATAAACATTTGTCGTGAAGAAAATACGACGAGGAGGAAAAAATGCCAGATCTTCGCCTCGGTAATGTATTCCAGCTACCAAGCCAACGTATCTCCAGAAGGTGGACTCGAAGTGGGACAAACCTTGTGATTTTTTTAGGAGCCCTTTGCCCGCAACCTAATTTATTCTGGCGCGAAATGAAGATTAAGAAAATGTATCTGAAATCTAATATACGACAAGAAAATTTTCGCACTTTCGAGGAGCGCGACATATTAAACGGGATTAAGTCGGATTAGCTGCCCGCGGAGAAAACATCCCTGCGTGGGATGGTACTTCCAGTAAAAAGCCTCTGTGTCCTCTCATGACCTTACCTCTGTGATGGACGTAAATTTGTCTTTTGCTATGGTTTTAGACAATATCACTTCTCCTGACTATCAATTGTCCATCAAAACAATGTACCAAGCGCGCGATAAAGAAATAGTCGAAGTGCCACGGTGTAGCACTTTATGACAAAGTTTCAACTGGAAAAAATTGTTGCCATCTGATGACCTAAAGAATCACTGGCGTACACTGCACTCATGGGTGTGCCACCTAAAGTGCAGCCTATGTTTGTTAGCTCTACCTAAAGAATCACTGGGTTACACTGCACCCATGGGTGTGCCACCTAAAGTGCAGCCTATGTTTGTTAGTTCTGCCTAAAGAATCACTGGGTTATACTGCACCCATGGGTGTGCCACCTAAAGTGCAGCCTATGTTTGTTAGTTCTGCCTAAAGAATCACTGGGTTACACTGCACCCATGGGTGTGCCACCTAAAGTGCAGCCTATGTTTGTTAGCTCTACCTAAAGAATCACTGGGTTACACTGCACCCATGGGTGTGCCACCTAAAGTGCAGCCTATGTTTGTTAGTTCTGCCTAAAGAATCACTGGGTTATACTGCACCCATGTGTGTGCCACCTAGAGTGCAGCCTATGTTTGTTAGTTCTGCCTAAAGAATCACTGGGTTACACTGCACCCATGAGTGTGCCACCTAAAGTGCAGACTATGTTTGTTAGCTCTACCTAAATAATCACTGGGTTACACTGCACCCATGGGTGTGCCACCTAAAGTGCAGCCTATGTTTGTTAAAAATTTTCGCACTTTCGAGGAGCGCGACATATTAAATGGAAGTAAGTCGGATTAGCTGCCTGCGGAGAAAACATCCCCGCGGGGGATTGTACTTCCAGTAAAAAGCCTCTGTGTCCTCTCATGGGAGGGAGGAGGAGGAGGAGGGGTAGCAGGAAGAGGAGAAGTAGGAGGAGGAGGAGGGGAGGGGATGGAGAACAATACAAATTTGGTGGTGTTGGTTTTGTTGAAAGAATATTAAGGTTTTGGCGGAAAAAAGCGAAGAAGAGGGGCGAAAAAATTGAATTGTGAAGGCATAAGAAAAAAAGAGAGGGGTAAGTAAACTGTTTGTTTAAATAAATATCTACTTTACTTTCGCTCTCATCAATATGCAAAATTGGCAGTGACCCGGAACAGGACCATCTCCGTTTTTTCATTGGAGAAAGGGGCAGGGAATAGAATTTTCATAATAACGTTACGGTGTGTGATTTTAAGTGACAGACCACACCGATGCCAAATAACGAAGAGGCGCACATGGCTTAATTACTATGTCAAAATCGATACTAAACCCGTCGAACCGGTTAAACCACTCAAAAATAGCATGTGACGTTATCTTAATGAATGGGATTACCCCGGTTTTCGCTTTGTTCACGGTTTTGGGCTTGGCTCCTCGAAAAGTGGTAGCTACACCCAGGATTGTGACAAACGCGAAGATCTTGATCTTGTTCTCGAAAACACCGGGTACCGTGCCCGAATTCTGCCAAGGTTACGTAAAAAACAGTGTCTTTTACATTAGAGTAGCGTATCATTGCCTTATGCGGCAAGGGGTGCTGGAGTAAAAACATGGACCCTGGGTCTAAGGCCCCTGTTTTGGACTGTCCGTGGAACTAGGAAATTTCATTAACCCGAAAAACAGATCAAGAAGAAATGATAGGTAATAAAGTAGAAATAAACATCGCGACAGCGATAAGGAAAATCTCTCGAAGACACTATAGTAAGATCCAAAGCTATGAAAAAAGAAATGTTTATTGACAGGTGTCTTGTTTGCCTGTAAACACCTTTTGAAAATTATTTCATTATTCATTTACCTTATTTCATAATTAAGTCGAATTATGTTTTTTTGTTCTTTCTTACCCTTGGCACGTGTTTTTCAATGTTTGTTTACATTAGTGCTCGTTTCCGCTTCGAGCTGATTGGCGGAAATCTGACAGCTAAGTCGACGTTGAGCTACGGGGGAATTGGACGGGGTGAATTCACATTCCAGAGACATAGTTGCAAGCTCTACTTCCTGTACCCTCCCTGCCGCCAGAGCGCGCCGGAGAGCTTGCTCGCAGGCTAACGATTTTGCCCTATGTAAGGCCTGTAAGGTAATCCGGAATCTGGAATCCTGGTCTTTGGAATCTAAGTTCCACTCACAAGGAGTCTAGTGTTCAGTTCATGAAATCCGGAATCCACAGCAAGGTTTCCAGTGTTCAAGACTGTCTTTGACTACCTTGCAAGAGGTGACACGGTGCCCTGGGAGTTCTTAACTTTGTTTACAGTTGAACCTCAACAACGGCCACCTTGGAAACAGAAGAAAGTGGCCGTTGTAGAGAGGTGGCCATTCTAGAGAGGTTTAAAGACTCTAAATAAGAGTCATTATTATTCATTCAAAACATTTCCCCGATTCTGATTAGTTAAAAGCACACGCATAATTCACCATACCCAGCTACTGATGACCAAATTTGGCAGAATTTTGCGATTAATGAACCGATGACGTCAAAAGTGCAGCTTCCTTGCAGGTTAACGCATCGTTAACCGAGAAGACCTGGGGACAATGTTGAGTTTTTTTAATTGTGAAAACAAAACTGGCAGACATTTCAGTCGTTTCAAGAACAAGAACTAGGCGAAATAATAGCTAAAAACATAGCAAAAACAGCAAGAAGACAATTCGAAGAAAGACATCTGCTATTTGGAGAATATTTGCGGAGCTGACTAACCCTAAACGTGCACTATCGAAGATGAACTTAACATTTATGGAGCTAAGCATGTTTTAGCTATGTTTTTAAACTAGGAATTATTTTGAAAGAATAATAAAAGAATGAATTCGGCTTTCGTATAATATGAACAATTAATGGAGATAATTCTTCATGAGATTCTCAGCCTCATTCATTAAATAAATTGTTAAATGCACAGTAATTTTTAGAGAGATATAACTCCAAAAATGGAGTAAACATTTTAGGTACTGGATAACCCCTTTTTGGGGGTTACTTTAACTCCTAATTTAACTCCGAATTTGGGGTCAAAGGTCAAAACAGTTCTTTTTACTCCCAGTCTGGAATTAAAATAACTCCGAAATGGGGTTATTTTACTCCTTACATGGGTTGTTTTTACTCTTTTTGGAGTTAAATTAACTCTGAAAGTGGAGTAAAACTTTTAGGTACAGGATAATTCCATTTTGGGGTTTATTTTAACTCCTCAATATCTGGGGTCACTTTTACTCCTGAGAAAGAGTCCTTTAAACTCCTTCTCGGAGTCCGCTGTAAGGAGTTAAATTAGCCCCACTAGAGGAGTTATTATAACTCCTTGAAAATTACTGGGTGTATGGACTATCCGCCTGAAAAAGTGGCCGTTGTGGAGAAGCTGCCGTTAGTGGAGGTTCAACTGTATTTCAAATAAAGTTTTGAGAGAATTATAAAGAGAAATCAAGCATCAAGAGAGAGAAATAAGGGTCATCTTTATAAAGGTTGGGTCTAATGATATAAAGATTTACTTTCAGATCAAAAGGTGTATTTTTTGTATTTTATTTTAGTACAGTGTAACAAAGGTGATTGGTGGGTTACAAGCCAGCCTTGCTAAATAACACGCTGAAAAATTAAAAAGATCTGTTTCAGCACAAAGCGTCGAGACTCACAAGAGGCTACTGGAAGCCAAATTATAAGGATTTGTTTGGAAATGTATCGTAAGATCAATAGAACGGTTAAAATAATGTACTTAAACAGCTATTAAAGCATACATACCTTATAAAGAATTGTTTCTGTGTTGTTTTCTTACTGTTTCCTGCTCTTAGCTATAAACGCTAATTTAGCAAATTAATAGTTTTTTACAGTATGTGCATTTTAACCTTTTCATCAATTTTACGATAAATTCCCATACAAATGGACTGATCATTTGGCTTCTGTACAGTGGGCTGTTGCGAGTCTGGGTTCCCTGTGGCACAGTCGCCAAAACTAAAAGCCAGTTTTAATACCCTGCAGGCCTCAGTCTAATTTAGTCTTTTTTGGAGCCATTTGAATTTGAGCACAGTTCACCAAAAAAGCCCCATCAAATGTCAATTCCGGTCGATGCTAGGGCTCATTTTACCCCGTGGGTCTAAAATCAATCTTAAGTAATTCGACTGCATTGGCCCTTATTAAGGGAGCCAACTCCAAAAATGGTTCTGTATTTTACTCAACGAAACAACCTCAATCATTTTTAGGGCTAGAAACGATCTTTTTTATTTACAGTGTTTAGTGAGGCCAGTAGCCGATGAAAAAAGAGGTGCAGTAACTACAGATGAGCATCGTTAAAATTGCGTTTACCCAACTAATATCAGGGGCGCAACAAACATTTTTGTAAAAATAACTGTTCGAAGCAGCAAGTATTGCCCAAAAAGATTTTGGGACGTTGTGTTTTCAAAGACCTCCTTACGATTTAGATATTACGACAAAGGCGTGTCCTAGAATCTTCTAACGAAGGTACGTACGGCTACTCCATGTGTTCCAACTTTCGACTAATATATTGCGGGAGGCACAATGTCTCAAAAATCGTTGTCCAGATGAACACATATGAATCTTCATAATTAATTGATTTCATTTGAAATCTGGAACAACGACGTACTCATTCCGGGCGTGGTATCGTGGTCTAAGCGAAGCAATAGCAGGTGGCGATGAGGCCCGAGTTTTCTTAAGCTTCCAGCAAAACCAAGCAGGAAAGGTGATAACAGTGATAATCACAGTTGCCAAAAGTCCAATCAAGAGCCAGGGGTATCTTAAACTATCAATCCAACTTTTCTTCTCTGCAGGCCTCTCTCTTTTCTGACCACCAGCTTCGGTCGAATCTGTTCAAGACAGAAAATAGAACTAAGAACGACTTCAATACTTTTTCATCTGAACGGAGGTTATGCATGCATGTTTATTTGCTTGTGACCTACAATAGGTACCATAATAGCAGCATTTCGACTCTTGTAAATTCACCTAACCCACTTTCTTTTTTTTTTTAATGGAAAGATATGAAATGACTCATACTTGATTTTGAACTGCGGATAAAGATATGAAAATAAAATGATCTTCACGGTTAAATTAAATAAACAACCTATAGTAAGTGGCTGAAAAAGTCAGGCCTGACCGGGAAATGAACCCTGATCTTTGCAGTGCCAGATCCTCACCTTGAGATAAGGGAAAGGGGGCTCAGTTTGGTCTAAATATAAGGGGCGCCCCCCACCGGGCCCCTCCTTTGGATCCGCCACTGCTTTGCGATGACCGGACGCAACGCTCTATCCATTGAACTAATCAAGCCAACAGGGGAGGAGGCAATTGTGCCGAGTTCGTTAAGCCCAGTTCAAACTTCGATCTTTTCATGTACCGGACCTAATCCCCAATCGACGTTTGAATCAATTAAGTTTGACATACCGTAAAATTCCGTAAATAAGCCCCGGGGCATATATTTTTCAAAGGCCCTTTTGAGAGGCTTATTTTTGGAGAGTCTTATATTCGGAGGGGCTTCAATACGGAGGGAAATTTGTGTTTCAAAATCGGCTAGACTTATACTGCGGGGGAAATTTGCGTCTCAAAATCGATTGGGCTAGCTTATAGTTGGAAGGGAATTTACGTCAGTAATTTGCAGAAAGATTTTACAGAAACTCGCGATCGCCTTGAGGACTTAGATCTTTCTAGACCTCAGCTCCACAAGTACTTTCAATATGGACCGAGGAAATTAAAGCCAAGAGTGAAGAATGAACTACGCAAACAGCACTACTGAATCATTTCTGTGACAATTTTTGACTGCACAAGTAATAATTCTTTGGCAAATGCAAAAATGCATGAGTAACTATTCACAGTTTTTGCTTTACTTTAATTTAAATCTGACGGCAATTTCCATCCCAATTCCCATCGGGTATATTACGAACTCGCACTGGCATAACGTTTCCTTGGTGCCGCAGAAGTTGTGATGACATTGCAAATAGACAAAAATTCACTCACAGTGTTACTAAATATCTCATTGAATTTAACCTATTCTTACCATTTAGAGACGGAATTGTTGCTGAGGTCGTGGAGGTACTTCCGTCTTCGCTAAGAATTTCGACTGCATGGAAAACAAACAATTTCTTAGTGCCCTCACGCATTATGTATTGATCTAATTTGTAGCATGGACTAGCTAATGGCCTAGCTTATCCGGTCATAAATAATAATAATAGTAATGAATAATAATAATAATAATAATAATAATAAGACCGGCCTTAAGCGGGAGTTGAAACGGATCTTGAAATTGCGCAGAGTAACTATGGTGCCAGTCATAATTGGCCCAATAATAACTGCAATAGAAACTGTCTCGAAAGGATCATCAGAATCATTGCAGAGAGCGTGCTTAATTACTGGGTATAGCCAGAATCCTTCGCAAAGTCTTAGACACCTAAGGTCACGGGCAATGACTTAATGTTTAAGGGAGACTCCAGCAAGCCATCCAGAAGCTGTGTTTAATGGGTTATCATCATCATCATTAATATCATCATCATCATCATCATCCTCATCATCATCATTATCATTATTATCATTATCATTATTATTATTATTATTATTATTATTGACGTCGAAGTTGTTGAAGGAGCCATTTAATCGGACTAGTGATGTGTTTCCTTACTTTTAAATGGCAAATATTCGTCATTAACACATTGTGAACGCTATCTAATTTTCCCCTTTTTTTGTGATTTTTTTAAGTGATTGTCTTAGTAAGAATGCAATTGACCTTGAAAATAGTTTCTTCTTTTTTTAATCGAAATGAGTTGTTTTAATTGAAATGAAATGTTCTTAATTTGAATAATTTTTGTTTTAATAATGTGATCAATTTTTTTCTTATCAAAACTGTGTTTTTCTAACGAAAGGAATTGTAAATAGTCTTTTGACGAAATAGTTTATTTTAAGTGAATTAATTGTAAATAAGATTTTAATAGTTATCATTGTTATCAAAAAAATTATTATTATTATTACTTAAATTATTATTATCATTATTATCATCATTATAAACTATACCGATATAAAAGAAGGGAGAGATGTTGGGATATTGAAAAAGATCCTCAACTAATTAATTTGGTGTAGACTAACGAGAGTTGGGTAGATTACAATGGAACTTCCCTATTAAGAGGACCTTTAAGGTTCAGAACCTTAGAGGTTGACGTTACTGCTAGAAAACTGGATCTGTTCCTCCAACAGCTTCCAACAGCGCTCTTGCTCTCATCAAACAATAAAAATCACTAACTTCTGAACGGGCAACATTAGCCGAAGACTATGACGTTAGACGATAAAGGTAAATTTCCACTGCCGCGTAATTTTTACCAGCGTAAATAAAATAGAGGCAATGTATTAAAGGTCGCGCTTAAATGTAAAAGTTGAGTGACCTTTCATACATTGCCTCTATTTTATTTACGCGCATACGTACGTAGAAATGTTCGCGACAGTGGAAATCCACCCTTGTGTTGGGTTTCGTAAATTTGCACCCTGACGTAGAAGTATTTCTTCGTTGGCTACAGCTTTTTCAAACAAACGTTGTCGGAAGAAGAGCTGCTAGAAAACCTGTAAATCATGAGTAGTAGTAGTACTGGTGGATAGTTTCAATCCTTCTTTCGCCAGTAAAACTGAAATCACTCCACTAACTTCGCGACGCCACCGTTTGTGTACTTGAGAAATGCCGTCTGAGGAACAGAAATATCTGTGGAAATTCCATACTGATGACGTATCATTAGCCAGAATTGGGTGTTGCTTTTGATTGGTCATGCGCGGGGAAAATTTTCTTCAACTAATCAGAAGCGCCACTACACAGATCTGTGTAGGTAGTGATACGTCACAGGGGCGGATCCAGGATTTTTTTTAGGAGGGGGTGTACTCGTCTCTTGCTCTACTTCAACATCAACAAACCATATAGTGTTTTTTTTGGCAGAATACCAGTTGTGTTAGAAAACCGCAGGTCATCTCAAGGGGGGGGGCACCCCCTGCACCCTCCCCCTAGATCCGCCCCTGCATCACAAGTGTGGAATTTCTGTGCTCGTTTCTCCGACGTAATTTCGCGAGCAAACCTGTTTTCCCAGGCTAACTGATGACTATGTATGGTTTACTAGATGTAAGATAAATAACTTAATCTCAGTGATTTTGCTTCTGTTTTCAATGCAATTTTTGTGCAGAGAAGTACGAAAAATTCACTTTTTGCTGAAAAATAGCTCTGTGACTAGACCTCATGTCACCAATAACGGCTATCTCGTAACCATGGCAAAAGGGTGTCATTGACGAGTGTGAAAATTCTGTCTTACACTCCCTGAAAATATCTGTCTGTTCACAAGTAAATTTTAATACTCATTTTTAAAATAAAATGATTATGCTTTAGGCCTTGCTTTGCCAAGAGATAATCTCGAGGCTCAGGCCGTATAGGAGCCCATCGTAGGCTCCTGGGCCGTATGAATGTATACTGAGAAGAAAATAGCATATAGTTAGAGCGTTCTTTAAAAGAGCTATAGTAAGAATTCATTACTAAATTCATTCGACCGAGCTACTGTCCCGTTGGGCGTTGAATTGCTGCTGGGGAAGGATTAGATAGATTAAGTTTCGCTTGTTTGACCGCTTTTTTTTTATAATTACGATTATGGGGAACCACTTACCGATCATTTCGTGAACTATTATGTAAGCGTTCCCCACAGCATAACCAAATACATTTCCCACAAAGCAAGTGTACTTTCCTTCACTTTTCTTTGTAACGTTATCCAAAGTCAAAGGGACTTCATGGAAACCAGGCTTGCTATTGCTAGTGCTAAGCCAATTAATGGAAGTTTGCTGGTTCTGTTTTATGACTTCATAATGAAATTTGCTGCCTTCAGTGCTGTTACCAGAGCTGTTGGAATGCATTGGAAACCATCGTAGCCAATGGAAATGAGGCATAGTATCACTATATACCCTGCAAAGCAACGTGGCACTTCCGCCAACAAAAGCAGTTGCGTTTATCATCGGAATGACAACTGGCTTGGCACGGACTAGTTCTATGTGTACGAAAGAGAAAAAAAAGATGGTCATACTATGAGAGTATCGTTTAAGTAATGACAAGCTGAAGGACTTCATGCATATATATGCACAATAGACTCGACTGAAGGAGTGTCCAAAATGAAACGGCCATTTTTTTCTTCCAGTTCGCCATGGACTGTAAATGTTTGTGAAACTGAGTTACACAATCATGTAAAAGTGAAGTCATTTTGCAGACAAAAGCACTTTTTTCACAAAATCGAATTTCTTCAGCTTTGAAGTGTTAATTTTAGATTGTTTTTGAGTAAGTAAGTAAGTAAGTAAGTAAGTAAGTAAGTAAGTAAGTAAGTAAGTAAGTAAGAACTTTATTATAAAGGGGAACGAGAAAAAGTATGACATTTTCTCCATAAAACGTGTAACTAAGAAGTTTCTGCCGGGAAGTTTAACGTTGTGGTCGTGCAAAACAACGGCAAAGAAATGTACAAAAAAAGCGTGCTGCACGAGCAAAGTTGCTTTTTTGCTAATTAGACATATTGTTGTTTTTCACCGTTCTCCGGCGTTGCCTTCGCCGCTTAACATTACACGATTTTATATTTTGTTTGAGCAAAATATAAAATTATCGAGAGCTTCGCTTTTATCCCTGGCTAAATCTATATATTAGTGTTGAGGTCGCTAGCATACACAGGGCTGTTAATAAGGGCCGGTAGCCGGCCAAAACGGCCTGCTAGTTAGCCATCCTTGGCCGGCTACTTTCATCTCCTTCTACCATAACTGCTAGAGTATGACTCTCCTGCCCTCTCCTGCGGGCAGGGGAGTCATGTCAAATGCTCCCTTCTCTCTTACCTTGCATTCCCGGCTTCAACCGCCTTTTTAGCTTCCTCCCTTTAGCCGTTTTTTTCGATTAAAAAATATAAAGCATTACTGCATAGTTCCTTCCTATTTCTCCTGCTTCCCATACTTATAGAACTCCCAACTCCCGCCCTTTCCTCTCTCGCCTCCCCTACCTCTCCCTCCCCAAGCAATGAAGCTCTTGATAAGAGGGGTTGTGGCTGTAGATCATGTGAGTCAAAGCAACACCTTACCATGCACGTCAACATAGTATGAATGGTTGATCCATCCAAGATGGTTACTGATGTTACAGGTGTATGTTCCAGTATCTGACGGTACCACGTCTTTTAAACGGAACACATACTTTCCATCCAAGTATAGCAAACGTCCTCTTCTCTCGTTAAAGGGTTTTCCGTTCTTGTACCATGCTATCGTGGGGTGAGGATATCCTTTCGCGGAACAGTCAAGTTTTACTGAGTTACCGACCGGTAGGGCTAACAGTGTTCTTTGTAGATTGAGTTTTGACAGAGTAAACCTCGGGGCCGCTATAAGAAGAAAGCGAATGGTGTTTGTGTTAAAAGAAAAACCATTGCCTGCTTGTTAAGCTATAAGGAAGTGCCCTACTCGTTGCTATTCTTACCTGATGTTAAATTTCTGTTCACTGTAGGTGTAGGCAGCACTTTAAACAACAACAACAATCAAACAAAAAAGAATAATCATAGTCAGAAACTTTAAAACAATTTCAAAGAGTCAAAAGCGACTGACAAAACTGCCATCACAATACAAAAACCGCGGAAAGCAGCGGGCAACGCAAGATCTCGTCTGTATTGTAATTACAACAACAACAACTCCAACATTTTGTTGGACAAATTACAACGTACCAAAAATACCGAGAGTTGCTTGCGTCTGAGAGCTAATAGATTCCCACCTGTATATATGGCTGCGGGGAAGAGGAGAGATCGTAGGCTTTGCCTCGTCTTTGCCAACAGTGTGGCATATACGAGTTCAAATGTCATATTTCATTTAAGGTTTATCGGTATTCATCATGCCTTCCCAACAGTGAGTCACAAAAAGTATATGCCAATGAGGCATAAGCTAAGCCAAAACTTACAGTGCGGGGGCTTTCCATTCAACCCAAAATTCCGGACATTTCGGTTTGGTTCGACCGGAATATTGGGGACCAGCTTTGAAGGTGAACCTCTTTGACCTTTCTGGTCATTTCGGTCGGTCGGACCGAAATGTCCCTTTCCATTTGACAAAATTGTTGTCCCCTGTACCGCTCTGTGGCATCCTGTTGACAAGAACAATAACCAAACGCTCGGTGGCTTCTTGGTTCGGGTCTTTGCGACCGGAATGTACCGTTCCATCGGGCAAGCGGAATTTCCGAAATTTCAAACCGGAATTTTTGTTGAATGGAAAGCGACCTGCGACTACTATAACCGGGGCCACTTAGACAAAGTTGACCAATTGGATTACAGGAAAATAGCAATACATTCCGAGAAAGTTAGTTGTCAGCCATAATTACCAGAAAACGAAATAAACAACATGGATCGAAATCAACCAGTCACAACCTACAGACAAGAAGAACTTTTGAACGCGCCGAACAAAGCCGGTGTCTCCTGAGAGGTCCGTTAGAGTGATGAGGGAGGCGAAAAGCGTAAACGTTACTAATAATTTTGGCTTGACGTCGCATGTTATTTTAAAGCGCGGCAATGGTAGGGAAGAAATTGCGGGTAGATCACTAAATAACAGCTTGTGTCAAACAAGTAATGTATTCTAAGTGCTGGGGGGGGGGGCGCAGTCTGGTTAAAAGCGTTATTTTTGGTTGATTTTTACCCTTTCTCTTAACATTAAATATCTAGCCAAGATTTAATTCAATCAAAAAGTGACTCAATTAAGTTACAGACCTTAGTTCAATAATTATTTGTGAATATTTGGATGATTTGTCGAATGTTTTTAATGTCTAAGATTTAGAATAGAGGGGGAATGTTTGAAATTTCGAGAAAAAGGGAAGATATTGGATTTGGGGGTTGTTAAAAATTGAAATATGAAGTAAATAATTAGTAGCAGACAATTACCAGATAGTCCGCCACCTCAACAAGTTGCCTCTGATCCCATTAGCGGACTAACTGGTTTATGTGTATGCCTATTCTACCCTCATATATTTCCTTTCCAAATCAACATCATTTCCCCCAAATTTTAACCAGTCCCCCCTAAAATAGTAAATTTACGAATAGAAAAACATTGTCTGGGGAAAACAGTTTGCTTTCTTGAAAAACGTTTGCTATGAATATTTCTTGGAGTAACTTATTGTTTTTTACGAGCTGCTAATTGGCCCACAACCAACATTCTTGAAATGTATTGCCTAAGTGCCTAAGTGCCCGGGTTACAGTAGTCACACTGTAAAGTAAGCTGGCTCACCTGATTGACATAAATATGCCCTGATAACCTGGACTGAATAATGAGAACAACAAGAATACCCTGTCATTCCCCACCCCACCAAGAGGAAAAATACTTCATGATAAGGTGGCTGATAAAAGTAAGAAGTTAGCTAACACATTATTAGCAAAAATATCATGATGCCGATATTTGTAATAAAAGAAATAACTGGAACTTTCCTCAAAATCCGCAAAAATAGAGGTTATCCTGACAGAAAATTTGATATGTGTATATATATTTTTTAAAGAGAAAAGCAGATTTTGAAAAATAGGCTGTCAAAATTCGGTTGCTATGTTAACATCAATTTTGACGTATACGTCACGACGACTTTAAAATGTTCTCAGATAAATTTGAGGAAAACTCACTGAGTTTGGCGGTCATAACTTGAACGGTTTTGAAGTTATTCAAATTTAAGCGAGGGTGTCCTCTAAAGCGCTCCCCCACCAACGGTTTGAATAGGGTTTTGAGGTACACAACATACTGTACTTACATTCTCGGATATACAGGCGAATGTGAACAACGTTCCACCCTCCACACTTGTTCAGAACAATACACGAGTAAAGACCAGCGTCGTCTCTCTTGACATTCTTTATCTTTAACCATCGCCGCTCGATAGTCACTTGTTTATGGTCGGCTGCTCGGAGTGTTTTATTGTCCTTCTCCCAGTGCACTTGGTACACTTCTCGACCTTTTCGTCGAATGTTACAGGAAAACTTTACATCTGACTTTTCGATAGCATAAAAAGAACCATTGGCATTTGGCTTCACACGGATTTCAGGAACTGAAAAAAGACAATTTCCTCAAGTAACCGGCCTCGTATTGTAAACGTGGCGCTAGCTGCAACGGCAGTGAGGGTGAGAACTGTTTTAGTGTGAATTCATTCGCAGCAAACTCGTATAGCAGTCGTCGCATTCGCCCTCTCATGCTAATAAATATTATCAGATTTCACAAGAAAGTTTTTGCTCTCAAAACTTCACTTTGAAACTGATAGTTTTACGAACCATGAAATGGCCTATTGATACTTGAAGTTGAAAAAAAAAAAAACAACAACAACAACAAAAACTTCCAATGAACAATGCAACGGCTAAACGCCAATCAGGCTAAAAATGAATCCACTCCCTTAACCCTTTGCTGCACTAATCAAGACAGCTGATGTGCCGACTCAAGAAAGTTAATATCTGACGTTTGAGAGACATGGGAGCGAATTAGTAAGAAACTAATATTCTGACGGCACGGTTAAGAAGTGCGCTGGTGTTTGTATTCTCTCCTCGCTTCTCGCCATTCACAGGCTGATTATTGTGTCCAAGCAACTGTGAATAAAATCGTTGAATTAAATAAATATGACTCGCGTTTACTGTGTTGTTCAATCCATTTTCCACGTTCACCATCTGGCGAGGTTCCTTTTGTTGACTGGAACTAGAAGGGCCTTCTCTGATATGAAAGCCGGGTTTTCATCAATCGTATCTCCAAGGTAAACCCACATGTTCGCCAGCACTTCCTAACCGACGGTTACTGCTAGTTTAGTAAAGTTTATTTTCCAGTGGATCTCATATTCTTTCGAATTCGGAATAACTGTGTTTGGGTACTGGTTTAGGCATTTAGGCATTTGATCCTGCGCTCCTTTGGAATTAGTTCTTTTTGGACTGGCCTATATTGTAATAAAGTATTTCGCCTTCTATGTTTTGGCTTCAGCCCTTTCCCCGGGGTTCCGTACCACTGCATTAGTAGAGGAATATGTTTTCACAGATTTTCTGACCACCTCTCAAGGGTGGTTTTTAGTGGTTCTTTCGTATCTGGCGTGTCACATGTTCTAGCCTAGAACATATGATAGTGTTTTGCTACAGCTATGGCATTGGTGTAACTTAACTTGGATACACCCAATGGTATCGGATGGCTGACTGAAGCATCCTAAATAAACTTTTCACTTTGTATGTCTCTTGTTAGTGAAGTCAGAATCCATATCGAATAAAGATGGAGCTTTTGTTTACACATAAAAACGGGGATTTCGGCTACACTGCGTTGTTCTTTAAAACGGGTCGACACATCAGATAGGTTTTTGCGCCACATTTCTTAGGCAATGAACAGGGGTTCTCACAGGCCGGTGTATTTTTCATAACGACAAGCTAGTAATACAAGGCAAATGGCAAGCAGCAATGCATATCTCTTGGAAGAATAAACTTAAAGAAGAAATTTGTACTTGTTTCTATTCATAATATCATGGGCGATAAATTACTTCTTAATTTTGGCGCGAAAATTCAGCGTTAATTAGTATTATAATTTCACATGTAAAATAACAAAATTGCCATGGCAACCTTCCGTACGCCTCAGTGCCAAGATGGCGACAAAGTTTTAAACTGTTATAAAATCAGTGAAGATGCCAGGGCATTTTAAGACGCTTTAGAAAACCTAAACACACGAAAGAGCACATTAAAGGATATTCTAACAGGTATTTTTTCGAAAAAGTCTGAAAATTCTGAACTTAAGCCAAATTTGAACTGTGAACTTTTGCGTGTGTGGATTTCTTGATCCACACGATAAATCAGGATTAACATGACAAAATTTCACGATTGCGAACGTAATTCATCACCCATGATATTAATAGGTAATCAAATGCCACACTTGTGAAAATATACCCTAATTTCACACGTCTCCATTACGCACTCTAGCTACTTATCAATTTACTCTTATGTAAGTTGATAACTTGTCGATGTCAAGCGGGTTATAAAAATGTTTTTATTTAAAGGAAATCAGACAAGTCGTTTTTAAACTGAGCACCAAAGATATGGAAAATAGAATTAAAGTCTCTAAAAAATGACTTATGAGAGAGATTTTCATGTTTAGAAGACACGCCCATCTTTCTTTTAAGGTCATTATTTTCAACAAGGACTTTCTGATACACTTCAATGACCTGGAAAAGAGAGGCGTATTAATTCCCCTTTCTTATTAAGTACCCAAATGTTACTGGGAAATGCGGCTACGAGGCACTTTCGACTTTCTTGTGCGGCGAGGGCGACGCTTGTTCGAGGGCGACATGATTTTAGGTAAGTACGGTTTTCATTGCATTTGAAGGCTTTACTGCATTTTTGCCGGTAAATTATTACATTTGTGGCCCGAGTAGTTTCTTCCTAAGAATAGATCGAGCTCTGTGCGAACTTCTCATATAATAATAAAGATGGTGTTGATGACGATGTTAATGATGATAATGATGATGATGAAACTGATGCTTCTACTGCTGATAATGATGTTGATGTTAATGAAAATGATGATCATGATGATGGTTCTGAAGCTGATGACGATGATGTTGTTGATGTTGATGATAATGATGATCATGGTGATGGTTCTGATGCTGATGATGTTGTTGATGATGCCAGTGCTGAAGCTGATACTGATGCTGCTGATGTTAATGTTGATGATGGTTCTGATGCTGATGTTGATGATGATTCTGATGCTGAAGCTGCTGCTGATGATGCTGATGCTGAAGCTGAAGCTGCTGATGATGGTCATGTTGTTGAAGATGGTGCTGCTGGTGTTGATGATGGTGATGGCGATGGTGATGGTGCTGCTGGTGTTGATGATGGTGATGGCGATGGTGATGGTGATGATAAAGATTATGATGATTCGAAAGGTTAAAAACAAAATTTACATTGTCTTTTAAAATGAAAGCTAGCCGGAAAAACTAAGGAAACTAAGGAAGGAAAACCAAGTGTTACGAAAAGAAATTCAAGATCTACAGAATCAATTGAAGAAAATCACTGACGACATGTCGCAAGCGCAGCAGCAAACTGGGCAGAAGAAGACGAGGGAAATGTCACCAGGCAAAGAACATTTTGTAGAATATCTGATCAGTTGGACGACTTTACTTCTTCTTAAACTGCTGTCACTAAACAAATCCAGCAGCTGACAAAGAGAGTTAATAAGATGTCCATAAAGTGCGAACGCATTACGAAACCTCTTAACGCCTTTGAAGATCATAGTTAACAATACAACGTTAAAATCGTTGGATTGCCGACCGTAGCAGAGAACGAAACCTCCGAGCAAACAACACATCTCTGTCTGAAACTTTTTTCTGTCGTGGGGGTCGAGAATGTTAGTGTAAATGATATCGGGTTCCTTTTCGCACTGCTTCTAACAGACCGAATGTTGTGGTATGTAAATTCGTTCGAAAGATTGCCAAGGAAAAGGGCCATAGCTAAAAGAAATGAAGCGTCGAGCATAGCGGCAGCAGAACTGGATTTTCCAGGTAGCGTGGACGTCACTCACTTTGTGTTTAAACCATTTAACTCCAGGAACTACTCTACGAGAGTAACAGGTTTAAAAGAGACAATACTTTTAAATTCTGCCAGGCAAAAAATGGAGTTGTCTACCTCAGAAAATCCGAGAAGTTCAGTGGTTGTAACATTGAAATCTATCATGGATTTGCAAGAAATCAGTAATGAAGATTAATAAAAAGCTGAGTTTAAATTTAATCTCATTATACTTTTACTAAATGAAGGCACCAAGAAATAAATCAATAGAGAAATACGGTAAAACTGTAATTAACGAGCTACCCTATTATAATTATACTGGCAATTTAGCTTTGCATCTTGGCCATCTAACAACTCAGTTGCTTGCTCCTCACTATCTAGGAGAAATTTACTATTAGGTAAGTTATCCAGCGTACACAATTTAATTCAAGCTATTCAAATTAAATTCTGACTTCAACACAGATCTCAATGTCTACCACAGCCTTCCTAATCAACAGATTTATTCTCTGTATTTCACACCACATAGCTTCAAGAAATCATTTGACAAGTTTTCAAAGAATGAAGTTGAAACCAGTTTTTCCCTTTTGACAACAACATTGTTAGTTTAAACTGTAAATTCGAGAATCTTTTAACTTTCTTAGATGACCTTGACTTTCATTTTAACGTTTGTTAGAGTCTATGAGACAAAAATCACAACCTCTAATGACAATATAAAATTTCAAGTCTAATACGTATCAGCAAGAAGTATTACAGTGATTACTTTGAAGCCAACATGTCAAATAATAAAAAAACGTGGACAGGTATTAATGAGGTATCGTTTCGCCGTAAGAAAAAGCTCAACACTGTTATTGCAATTAAGGACCCTATCTGTAAGAATAAACTAGTCAAGGATTTTTCACATATTCCTAATATTGCCGATAAACATTTTGCGTCTGTTGGGAGTAAACACGCAAGTAAGATTCCTTCTTTCCAACAACATTGGTTGTCTTTACACTAGGCTGTTAAGTAAGACTTAAGAGCTGCTAAGTTTTACTTAACCAAAAAATACGAGTGAAGGCCTAAATAAAATCTCAAGTAATTTTACTTTGCATCTCATTAAAGTCGGAAAGTTGAAACGATTCAAGAAAGTTTCAAGTGACTTGAAAACCATCCTTGAAACCGACTTAGCGAACTTGGGGTTTCTAAGCTTTGAGAAAGGCGAAGCATGTCAATCAATCTTAATTATGTTGTGTGGGAAAATATGCTTAAGTAAACCTGAAGCAAAAAAGATAGGTTGTGTGTGAAGCTTTTTTTTACTTGAAGAATTTAAAATTTACTTGTCTTGAAATATTTGTTAGCTTATTTAGGCTCTAGTGTAAAGACTACCATTATCTCGACTTTGTTAACAAAACTATGTCTCCAATACCATCTTCGCTTTTTCAACCAATAACATATGATTGCCCGAAGACTGAGATATTACCTCTGCCTAGTAAAACATCACACGGTTTATACTCCTCTCCGACAAAGCTACTAAAATGCTGAATTGGCATCATAGCCCTTGTTCTTTCGGAACTATTTATTATTTCTATCAGCCTAGGGAGATACCCTACAAAATTGAAATTGTCCAAAACTGTGCCTGTTTTTAAATCTGATCACGAGAAGGACCCAAATAATTATAGACCTATGTCTTTATTGTCAAACTTCAACAGAATATTTAAAAGGCTTATGTATACTAGAATGATGAATACAATTGAGAAACACAATTCAACTTTCTCTTCCCAGTGTGGCTTTCGCAAAGGACATTCTACTCAACATGCTATATAAGACATCGTTAATGCAATCCAGGCCAATATGAATCAAGGTCTATACTCTTGTGGTGTGTTTATTGACCTCAATAAAGCTTTTGACACCACTGATCACAATATTCTACTTCGGATAAACTCAACTTCTACCGCTTTCGTGGATTAGCCAACCAATGGTTTTCCTCATACCTCAAAAACCGCACCCTAACCACTCAAATTGCTGATCACATAAGTTGTGAATCCATACATTGCGTTACGCTCGTTGCTTTCTGGTTAATTCGCTAAGTTTTTTTTACCAGTTTTGACATTTATCATTATTATCACAGTTGACTAGCCTCAGAGTTTTACCAGATCTCATCGGAGAATACACGCAATTTTTTTACGGAGTTATTTCATTTCAATTTTTGCTATTTTGTCGTTCTTTTCTTTTCTACGCTTGGAGGAACAATAACTTCTCACAATATGCTTCTACGATTTTACAATAAACGAACCTTAATCAATCGCGGAGCGTCAGGTTGAACACTGCGAACTCCACCCGTGGGAACGCGACACAGATCAAATAAAGCCACAATCAGCTTTGGAGTTCCTCAAGTTTCCGTTTTAGGCTTTCTTCTCTTTTTTCTGTATGTTAATGATTTCCACTAGTGTTCTACTAAACTTAAATTCTATCTCTTCGCTGACGATACCAATATAATTTTTTGCTGAAAAAAATTGAAAGTTCTTAAAACGGTTGTCAATACTGAATTGGGCAAACTCTACGACTGGTTAACATCTAATAAGCTGACTCTTAATATTTTTTAGTAAATGCAATTCTGTAATCTTTCATCCTAAAGGAAAAAAGCCTAATTATCAGCCTAATATATGTTTATTTGATGACGGGAAAAATGAATATGCTACTCTTGAATCCAAGAAAAATATTAAATATCTTGGCATTTTGATTAATAAAAAACTTATCTATTACCTGGAAACATCATATTGATAATCAGCAAAACGGCTGGCTTACTTGCGAAATTGGGTCATTTTGTACCCCGGCAAATTCTTCTTAAAATTTATAAATCACTTATTTACCCGTATATTACATATCGACTTGCTGCTTAAGGCCAAGCAGCAAAGACACATCTATGTATTTACATTCGGCGGAGCTAAACGTAGTGGCAGTGACAGAGAATGTACTTTCCTATTGGTATTAACGCACGTGAGCCGCTATGGCGTTAATTGACTCTATTGTTATTAGGTATATAAGGTTTTGACAGTTGTTATGTATTCATCTCAGCTCTCGAACTATCAACTTTTATTTTTATATCTTACTTTATTCATCTATCAATTGATTTTTTACCTTTAACCCCCAGAGGTTGTGCGACCGCATCGGTTGGGGAATACGTTCTCAATTTTTTCCCATTGGGTTTTTGGGTTTTCGTATCAGGCGGCGCACGTGAATAGTTTAGCCTGAGTGACTTTATTTAGGAATATTTGTGTACCATTCTTTAGTTATGATGTTGAACTTTGTATGTTATTTGGACGGCATTAAACACTCAGGCTCCATAGTTCGAGCTGCACACTCATTCCCGTCTTTTAGTCGTGAATATAAATAGGAACAATTCAAGAAAACCGTATTGCTACAAAAAAGAGCTCTTCGGATAATAGACTTCTCGGACAGACGCGAACACACAATACCTCACTTCATTGACGCCAACGTTTTACCCTTGAATTTTTTATATTATCAGACTATATCTAATTTTATGCATGATGTCCATAACAATGAGGCACCTTCTGGCATTCTAAATCTATTTAAAGAAAAAAACAAGTACTTGCCACTCTTACCAATGCAAGAGCATCGGCTTCAGGAAATTTTTATGTTCACAGTTCCGATCTAGAATCATATAAACTGTCTTTATTTCGCTTTGGAGCAAAGCTGTGGAATGAAATAACCTGTCACATCCGACATCTCCCGAAGAATAAATTCCAAAAAACACTCCGCAAGTTACTTTTTGACATTTTAAATTCAGAATAGGTCTATATTGATACGCCCACCTTAATTAAAAAGGTAAAATTAGCCAAAAATGTCGAAAAATAAATTCTTGCATATTAGCCAGTAGTTTCTTCTTTTTACAATTTATTTATTTAATTCTTTCTTCTTTATCGTGTTATCTAGTCTTCATCTATATTACGATTTTTATTTCATCTATTTGTAACCTGAAACTTTCCTTAGTTAGCCTTAGTCTTAATTTCATATTTTTCACGCATTGTCCCGCCACGAATAGCCTTGCTAGCTGCGGGAAATGCTTCTATAATATAATCTGTTTATTAGTAAAGTTTGTTGTTGTTTGTACAGTTTTAATGAAGTTAACTTGTTTACTACAAAAAGATATTAAAAGTAAAAAGAAGTAAGTAAGTAAGTAATCGGTTTAATAACAGGGTTTCCACATTGTGGCTCTTCATGCCATCTGTTCCTTATAACTAAAAATATAATATATATATATATATATCCTGTTTCCAATTACAAGGACAAAATATTGGCAGTCTATAACTACTTTTCCAACTCTGCAGTCAGATATAATAAATTAAGAGAAATGGAACAAACCCTGGGGGAACCTGAACTACAACTTCGGGAGCCTATCTACACAAGGTGGCTGAGTCTTCACTCCTCTGTGGAAATAGTATCAAGGATCTGGCACTCGTTGGTTCTCACACTGGAAGACCAGGCCTCGGGAGAGGCTGAGGGAGTTTCACCAGCTGATTCAGCTAAGGTGAAGGGATTGCACAATCAAATAACAAGATTTGAGTTTGTTGCGATCACAGCCCTTCTGCATGATCTCCTCCAAGTCATTTCTAAACTGAGCAAGTCATTTCAAGCACAAAGCCTAGATTTGTCCATGATTCATCCTCTTGTCGAAGCAACCAAATCAAGTTTAAATGACATGCAGAGGGTACCCAGTGCACGGCTTGCAGAATTCCTCAACTTAATTGATGAACAAAAACTTGAAGATGATGGTAGAGTAGACATTCAGTACAGGGATGTGGCCATAAAGGTTACTGCAGCTGGATATACTGCGTTCTTCCAAACAAAAGAGAGATTCATTGAGGAAGTTGTAGATAACATTGATGACAGGTTCCCAGCTGATTCTATGACCGTTTTGGATGCCCTTGGCATCTTGAACCCTAAAAGGTGCCCTGCAAATCCAGCATTCTATGGCAATCAAGAGCTACAAGTGCTGCTGGACCACTATGGAAAGGAAAGAAATGGCAGGAATGGTCCAGTCCCTGCTGTTATTGATGAACAAGCAACTAGGTTTGAATGGGGACAATTGCGCCAGCTGATGGCACTAAACTACAGGCATCTCTCCCTTAAAGAAATGTCTAAGCTTCTGATGACTGAACATCAAGATCTGTATCCTAATTTTGCTAGGCTTGCAGCAATAGCTTTGGTTATTCCAGTCACGAATGCAGATTGTGAGAGGGCATTCAGCACCCAAAATCGACAGAAAACCAAACTACGAAACCGGTTGAGTAATGCTACTATTGAGCATCTTACACGCATTGAAGCAAATGGCCCTCCCCAACTGGATGACTTTGCTGCCGCCTGTGTGCACAGGTGGCAGCAAGCATGTAGAGGAAGATAAGGGACCATTCATTTTGAATTTTACTTCTGAACATCAGAAATGCTAGTTTTTGACATTCTCACATGTTGTTGTTTGTTACATTATTAATTTAATATGTAATGCACCAAGCCACTAGACACTATAACAGTGTAATAGTGTGAGAAACTTGTTAAGGAATATTAAATAAAACTGCTTTTTCCGTTGTGATACTTGACTCCAAATATTCCAAAATGACTCCAAAATTTGTGAAGCAGAAGTCACCCTGACTCCACTCATCAATAAAATTTGCAAACCCTGTATATATATATATATATATATATATATATATATATCAAATATTTACAATAAACAACATAATATGAAAAAAATAATAGACCAAAAAACGATTTAAACAGAAAGTGTTTACAATGATCGTATGAATAAAACTTAAACTACAATTAAGATAAGCTGGCCTGTGCCCGGTTCTTTAAGAATTTACGAAATGCGCGAACTAAATGGCTTAAAATTCGTCACACTTCTGTTTAAGATTATCAGGATCGAAGGTTATTAAAAAGGGTAGCCGCAGTGTCCTGGACATAAAGACCGAAGAGTGCAAACTTCTAGACATTTATTGTGAAGTCATACTTCGACATTCTTTTGCGTTACGTGTTATCAGTGACATTCTGTGGAGCAGTTGTTTCAGTGAAAGTTATGGACCAAAATTTTATCGACACTCGTTAAGCGCAGAAGAAGTTATAAGGTGCGTATATATAACTGTGTATATACTAGGAGTAATCGGAACTTAGAAGATTGCGTTCGATATGTTTGTAAGGCGTACAGGTAGGAGTTGAGGAGGAAGGGTGGATGGTTATTGCGATAGATTAAGCCCGGTTTCAATATGATCGCTACGATCGCTGTGATCGCTGCGATCACTGCGAAAAAAAAATTCAGCGATCAATCAGGAAACCACTCTCCGGCGATCGCAGCGTCAACGATCGCTGAGATAGAACTTTTTACATCTCAGCGATTGTTGTCGCTGCCACCGCTGGAAAGTGGTTTCATATGATCGCAATGATCGTTGCGATCACTGATTTTTTTTTTCTCGGCGATCGCAGCGATCACAGCGATGGTAGCGATCATATGGAAACCGGGCTTTAATTTGATCATGGCATATTTTAAACGTAAGGACTGCTTACAGCGAGCTTCACATCTCGGTAGATTTACTTTGTGGCACAACGGCCGCCGAAACTTTTGAAAGATGAACGTTTTGAAAGATTCAGCAAACACAGATCGATAGTAGACCTTCAGCAAACTTTTGAAATATGTACGCTTTAAGAAGATTCAGCAAACTTTTAAACGATGAAAGCTAAAAGACCTCAGCAAACGCTTGAGGACGCAGGGATCACCACGTGAGTTAGTTCGTCAAAGTGAGGCAAAACGTAAGTCGACGACGACGACAAATGCAATCTTTATTAATTAAACAGGGAACCCAATAATGCACAGAACACCCAACACAAATTAGGGGTTGCGTTCTCGTAACTCCAACGCAATAAACACTGGGAGAGTTTCCCAGACACGAGTTCACAAATCTTTCATTGGAAACCTTGCCAGACACTCTTTCTCTCTCTTTGACCGGAATAGCACTTAACCCCAAACAAGCAAGACGAGTGAACAACGGCTAGCTTCGCAGTAGCAGAATGATGGACGATTACAGAAATTCGCCGACAATCAAATTCTGTGCTGACTTGTTCCCTGCTCACAGGTGTCCTTCCGCCATAAAGTTTAAAATAAGACTAGAATGCGCGAGTGTGAATTGCTGGTTTTCAGTGTCACGCCATTCAAAATAGATCAAAATAAAAATCAAAACCGTTCAATAGATAAAGTCCAGAATCTAGGAAATGAAAGGAGGTACATATACAAAGACCCTCGCCAAGGTTCAGGTCAGAGGAATATTTCGTATACGAGATATACGAAGAAATGTTTTACCCAAACTTATAGAGATTTGTATGGAGACACTATGCTGGTGCTCACCCGGATGAGTTCCAACATGGCGGACGGAAACCAAGAGAAACATCTGTTACCGAGGTTTGCTACAAAAGCGTGAATTTATTCTTCGAGAAACTCATAAACATTAAAGTAATACTTTTTCTAATACATTAACTGTTTAGATGGCAAAATTTCCTAAAATAAGTCATTTTTTTAGAAATAGCGAAAAATTCAACTTCTTATTAAATCTTTTCCTATATGGTTTAGAATAAACTATTCTAGAAACTGAGAATGTTTTGATCAAAGCTGTTAGGGGCACCCAACGACAATTTTTGGAAAAATATCTGTTCGGAAGACGATTTCAGATCTAGAATTTTCGGAACATTTGTTGTAAAATTACTTGCTTGCGTGCCTCTCCTAGGATTTTAGAACATCTAAAAAATGGTAAAATTGCCCATTTTCAACAGATTTTTACCCTAAAAAGGTCACCTAGAATTTTCGGAAGCCTTTTTTCTGGCTGAAATTTTCGAACAGGTAAGTTTTGATCCCTATAATTTTCGGATCACTAGACTTTCAGCTAGGAAATCCGAACAGATGAAAAATTTATAGGCGATAAAAATATGCCCATATTCACCGTTTACATACTAAAACACGTTTAACAATGCTATGTTTAAGTGGTTTTAAACTATATTCTCGTTGGGTGCCCCTGAGCTGTGTAAATCGACCTGAAACTGTGCATGGAACCTTGCGTTTCCTGTATTTATCTCACCTGTTGTATGAAATATGTGTGAAAATCTTCCTTATGAATCGGTATATTTCCAAGAGCTACACAACGAGCCGACAATATACAGAGCGGGGGCAGCTGTTCAACTATTACTATTTTATTTTTGTATAAAACGCTGACACTCAGACTCTGGTCCTTGCCTGAATCTGCAAGAGCTATTTGGAGTACTGTATTCCACTCGTTTAATCAGATCAGATTAGACTGAGACAATACCTGAGCAATTCAGTCGCTCTAAAAAACAACCTAACCTGAAATAATTCCGTACGGGGTTGACCGAGAATTACAGCATTGCGATGACGGGACGCACTTCTCTATCCCTTGAGCTAATCAAGAAAACTGGAGAGCTAGCCATGCGGATATACGAAATGAATCATATTTTGAACTGCAGATAAAGATATGCCCGTCGGGAGATATGAAACGGCAAACATGATCTTCGCAGTAAAATGAGCAACATACCTACCTGAGCAAGTTGTGCAGAATGATTCCTTAACCGGTATCAAAGCCATAAGAGCTGCTAAAAACACCCTCTGTAACGGCATAAACATGGTGCAAGCTAAGGTTTTGTTCCTTAACTTCTCACCTTGATACAGCCAGACAACACTAACCTGCAAATAAACACGGAAAGTTACGTGAGTGGCAGCCTTGATTCAAAATTTCTACAATCATGCAGAGGAGACGCGTCACTCTTGATTGCTTCTGTAGTTGTAGGTGATGAAAAAGTGGAGCAACATGCACGTTTTTTTAGCCACTGCTCACTTAATTGCCGACCTCATCTTGCTGAAAATCAGGGGCGCGATTTAGCTCAGTGTTTTAGGTGTGACCTCGTCTGCGTTTCCGTCGGAGTTCAGCACCTAAAACACTGAGATACCCTCCAGAATGAACACGTACTTTAAGAAGGAGAGTGATTTTCTAAACAGCTACTGATACTAAATGTAGTCAGAAATTACCTATGATAGGTCGGGGTAAGCTCTAGTCTTGCAACTTACGTGCCGTGATCTTGAATACCAAGATAAAGAGTATATTAAACACAGGATGTTGTTTCAGGCACAGGAAGTGACAAAGCCTCTAAAGAGGAAATTGAATATTATTATCTCCTGTGACCCTCCTGTATTTTTTTCTCACTTTTGCCTCAATTTTGTCACAAACTTGTTTAGTTCCTTTTTACGTAGGATGCGTAACCTTCAAAATAGGGAGTTTTAGATAACCTGGCATATGTTCAACTCACTCAATTTGTCAAATGAAAGTGAACTCTCCCGGGGTTACACAACGAAGAATCATATCCAAGTTCCGAAGGAGAAAGAAAAATCAAGTGGCCGTTTGTTTGCTTTCCCCTTAAACCTCACATCGGAGTCGTGCAGAGAAAGAAAAAAGTATAGTAAAAATCTTAATACACGTGCACAGTTGTTGTTTTGTTGAAAATAGCCATGAATGAATGCTGAAATACCTTTGAATACTTTTGAGTGTTTTAATTTCCGGCACTAACAGCCACAACTTGATATTCTAATTGTTCTGAATCAAAACAAATATTAAATTTTACTAAATGTTTATTAAACTTTGAATGGACAATTCATGATAACAAATTGATAACGAAGGGTAAAGTGAAAGAAATTTGAACTCCGTCACGTGCGTTAAAACTCCTCTTTAACTACATGTATGTAAGGGATAAGAAATAAATCTGATATTGCCAAAGACTTAATGATTTATTTTTAAGATAGTCAATTAATTAATAGAATAAACGGGGCTACAATTGACGTGGCTTGAGTATAAACTTGTAAACAATGAAATAATGAGGGATTTTTTTTCCAATATCTTATACATATACATATTTTATTTTTCATTTTTCATCCATTCGTTTATCCTTAATGTCTTCAGAGCGACCCAGCCTGTGTACGGTCACCGCCCCCCCCCCCCCCCACCCCCTACCCCCTTCCCTGTCTAAAGGAGTCCTGGAAACACAAAAACATTAATCAAAATTAAAATAAAAAAACAGTAATAATAAAAACTTTAATTTTTAAAGACCGATTCAGGCACATTCCTAGTTTAAAAATCGTAAAAAAAGCGCCACATACTGAGACAATCATCATTTTGGCGGCCTTTTTATTTCAAATCTTTCCAAAATGCTAAAATTTCCCGCAACACACCGCGAAATGAAAACGAAATCGTAGTATGAGCTTATTAGTAAAAACGTTTGTAGATAGTATTACATTATGAGGCAAAGTAGCTCCGATAAAGTGCACAACTTAAGCTTACGTCTCGTTCTGTTTTTCCCCTTTCGGCTGTTGCTTAGCTGGCTCTCTACATATCTCTTCATCGACGGAGAAATACGGGAAACTATTCCACTCCAATTTCCGGGATGTTTTTCAGTTTTTTTAAGAGAAATACTCTTCGAGAAAACCTTTTCTTGTTGAATGTCTTCGAAGCTCTCGCAAAGCGAGAGCGCTGCAAGCTGCAAGCGCCTATATATAAGGCCTGAATTTTGGCGCGAATGTCACACTTGACTTGTGATTGGACGTAACATTTTTCTCACACGTGAAGAAACATCGTTCGCTCCTCTGATTGGCCAGAACTCATTTGCGTATGAAAAATCTATATAATAAAGTGAAATAGCCATCTCTGTGAGCAGTTATATGTATGTTTTGTTTTCCCAATTCAGACCAGGTGATTTTCTCTAGGGAATTTGCTTTATGTCTTTCCATAAATTATGTTCAAATATGCGCATGGATGGGACGAAGTTTGAAAAAATTCTCCGGGGCACGATCACGTGATCTGATAGAACAAACAAATCAAATAAGCTGAAAAGGACTATTTGACATAGGGTTCTGGGAATCGAAGTGGATTTCTGCAATTTGAATGGTCTGTGCTGCTGTGTTGACTGAGAGTGAAACACCTTTAAAAAGGAATCCAGTACTTACTATTTATATTTCTTCAAGTAATGCGATTCTTCTACTTCTCTCCAGCTAGTTTACCACTGTAGCGGGTCCTTCTCTAGCCTGTGGGCATCCGCCTATCACGCTCCTTCAAAAAAACGGGAAGGGGAGGAGAAGATGGAGGCAGGAAGGAGGAGGGAGGAGGACGACAAGTAGGAGGAGGAGAAGGGGGGAGAGAACAATAGAAATTTGGTGGTGTTGGTTTTGTTGAGAGAATATAAAGATTTTGGCGGAAAAAAGAAAAAAGAGAAGAAGAGGGGCGAAAAAATTCAATTGTGAAGGCATAAGAAGAAAAGAGAGGGGTAAGTAAACTGTTTGTTTAAATAAATATCTACTTTACCTTCGCTCTCATCAATATGCAAAATTTGTAGTGACTCGGAACAGGACCAAGCCCATTTTTTCATTGGAGAAAGGGGACAGGGAATAGGATTTTCATAATTACGTTACGGTGTGTGATTTCAAGTGACAGACGACACCGATGCCAAATAACGAAGAGGCGCATATGGCTTAATTACTATGTCAAAATGGATATTAAACCCGTCGAACCGGTTAAACCACCCAAAAATAGCATGTGACGTTATCTTAATGAATGGGATTCCCCCGGTTTTCGTTTTGTTCACGGTTTTGGGCTCGGCTCCTCGAAAAGTGGTAGTTACACCCAGGATTGTGCTAAATTTTAAACATGGTTTCTTGTATGTAACTCGAGCTTATAAAATCCAAAAATGCAAAAATGTTGATCACAGAATGTGACCCTAAGCAATACATAGGAAG